TGGGACTTGCGGCGTCCCTGAGATCCGCGGGACTCGCCCTTTGCATTCGCCATCTCTACGGGACGGCTTAGGTCCGTCGGGACCGTCCGGGGGAGGAGATATCAGCTGCGATCCTGGGAGCCCAGGATCGCCCGCCGTATCGCCGCGACGCCAGCTCCGCCCTCGATCTGGATTAACTTCTTAAAGAGATTCACAAATGGTACGAATGGTGTCTCATCAATCCAGCCCATCAACAAAAATACAGTAAAGAAAATATTTGCTGATATTAATATTTTTTTGCCATTTTAAAGGGCATTTTGGGAGTGATTATAGCTTTACTACAAAAAGGAGGTTCCCATGTTGGATCAACTTACCTTGGGGCTTCTGTTCTGCATTACTGGCTTCTTTTTGGCTGCCATTGTCGATCATTAGTCTGAAACCAAATCATGGGAAATGTATAAAATGATGCATGATGTAGGGAAAAAAGAACAGCCATTATCAGCTAATGCTCAGAATCATCATACAAAGAAGAAAATGCAGGAGATTTTCAGTAAACCAAAGAAATTATATCTTCACACAGCGCATAGTTAGACTATGAAATTCATGGCACAAAACACAGCAAGGTCACCACCTTACCGCAACTATAAAAGGGGATGATATGATGATACATTTCCCTTCAAGCTTTCCCATGATAGGGATGCTCATTATGTGAGTTGTATTAAGGACTGTAAAATTACTTTGCCATTAACAGAATGGCCACATGAAAATACCAGGCCAATGCTCCTTCTTTTATACATTTAATCCCTGTTCGAGAGGGAATGCCAGTAGTTTGCAGGAAATACTCTTCTAAGTGATTAGAAAAGTCCTTCTTTGCACTTGTCCATCCAAGCCTTTACAGAATCAAAAGAAACCCTCAGATCTATGAATGCTGGATACAAGTCCCACTAAACCATGCTTCTTTTATTAATAGATCATGAGAAGAGTGAAAGGCTTTCTGTTGTGCCTTCCTCCTTCACTTGATGGAATAACCAAGTATTAACTGCTCTCCTGAAACCCAGACGAGAAGAAGCAGATCTGATCTCTGTGGGAAGGAAATAAAGGACTACGGGAGCAGTGATTGAAAATGCCCACTTCTGAGGTCCCATCAGATGGCATTCTTGTACTGAAAAGAAATGGAGGGACTTGGCCCTATCTCAGCTGATCAAAGAGGCAGATGAAAACAGAAGAAGGCAATCCCTCAAGTAACCTGGTCCAGAGCCATGTAGGGCCTTAAAGGTGACAATCAGTACCTTGAATCACACCCAGAAGCCAACTGGCAACCAGAAGCAGTAGGGTCACTTGAATATATTGGGATATACCCATCACTGCCTGGGCCACTTCATCTGTACCATCTATAGCTTCCGAATGCTTTCCAAGTATAGTCCCATTTAGAGTGCATTACGGTAATCCAAGCTGGAGCTGTCTGACATGAGTGGCTGCAGCATGGCCTCCCATCCAGGAATGGTCACAACTGGCACAGAAAATGTAACTACACAAAAGCCCTCCTGGCTACAACAGATTGATTGCGAGCCACCCCTGAACAACTCCATTCAGAGTCAGAGATGGCATTTCCCTGGAATCATCTGGCCCACCAACCCAAAGCTACTCCATCTCAGAGGGAGTCAGTCTGAATCTGTTCCTCCCCATCCAGGCCCTCCAGAATTCAACAGGATTATTTAACAAAATCCAGGAATACTAGGCTGGGTTATGGAAAACTGGCTACAAAAATTGCTCAGCCTCCATAAGAAAGCCAGTTCTTTGCATGCAGAAGGTTGGCTCAATTTTGGGGTTCTCGGTAGGATGGGAAAGGCAAGGTCCTATTTGAAAACCTGGCTATCAGCTTGCCCTTCTCATGTACAAGAGAGGTCTTTTTTAATCTCTTGGAGGCAATGGCCAGGTTCTCACATCACACTAAGCCTAAACCGGCTTGTTTGGTTTGGCTTGGCACGATGCACAAACCCAACTACTGTTGTTTGTAAACCATGATTTACTGATAGATATGTTAGGCACACCCGATTATGGCTTATTTACTAAATCATGGTTATAGAACCAATGCCGGGGAAAATGTTGACCTCCTTATTCACTATGGGCGCATGAAAGTTCAACAATTGGACTTCAGATTGCATAAAGTGATTCTAGAAACAAATCTCAGAGACCACCTACAAGTGTTGCTAGATGTCAACTGTACAGGAAAGGTACTCACAGGTTGCAGAAGTCAAGAAGTAGCCTTGAACAGGGCGCCAGCAGTGCCGTCTCGACTGTGAACGAAGAAACTCTTGCCCCAGACTGTAATGCTAAGAAGCCCCACCTTCTAGCTCAATAATTCTGCCAAGCTCCTGCAGTAATTAAGCAAGACGGCTCCCCTGGGCCCTCTGAAACTCAAACAGACGTCTGAAATATCAGCCAAGGGCAACTTCAAATTATGGAAAGGAAAGAATTATCCAAGCAATATAACAAAATGGGAAAACTGCCCTCCCTCAGGATCTTTGGAAAGCCCCTATCCCCCTTTTTTGGGGGTGGGGAATCTAGGTGCTTTTAGAGAATTCCTTGTCAGTTGTCCGCTCCTGTTTAAAAAGAAACCTTGCCTGTTTCAGATGGCAGGGTTCTCAAAATAGGCACCCTGGGGCACAGGCTCAATTCTCTACATTAGCCTGGCAATTCGCGGCTTATCTGCTCTTCGATGAATACTACATCTCACTTGTTAGGCACATGTAGCTTTCCAGTGTAAGAGTACAAATGTACTGGGGCCAATGGCTGCATGTGGAATCATGTGCAATGGGTCAGGGGGAAAAGGGGGTGTACTCAAGGACAAAGTGGATCTGTCCAGAGTAAAATGCCCACTTTGTTTTCAAACTCCACTAACAGCCAGTGCAGGTCACCCATTCATTCTCACCTTATTCAGTCTCAACACCCTGTTATCTTGTATAAAACCAGCAGCAGCCTTGTTGGGTGGGGGTGGGGGGCTGCTCAGGCTGTACAACTCTGTTTTTGGCAGTTCTGGGGCTGGTGGCAGACCTTTTGAGGGTATGTGATGGGCACACTCAGAAAACAGCTGCTAAGGAGGTCAGGGCCAGTCAGAAAACACCCACCCACCGGGAGGCACGTTAACCTTTCTGGCTGTTCTACATGATACAAGCGAGACCTTTGTGGACCCGTAAGCTTAATGCCAGAGATCGGTGCTCTTTTGCGGCCTCCAAACTTTCTATTTAATTTTTTTTAATTAAAAAAATATTTTTTGAGAGTCAGGTAGAACAGGGAGCCTGCCAAGCACCAAGGCAGGTGTCTGGGGATCTATACCACATTGCCAGCTACAGCTACTCCTTTAAAACTATGGAAAACCCTTCCATGAATTTCAGTATGTTTCATTTTCATGCTAAAATAACATTTTTTGGTTGGAGACACAGGGAAAGATAGACCAGCCCACCCTTGCCCCAGCATTTAATCTAATGTCTGCTTCCTTTGACTCATAAAAACTGTAATCTCTGCCTTTGCACGTTTAATGCTTTTCACCCTAATTCATGACTCCATGATGTAGGCAAAAAAGCAAAAGAGCTGCTATAAACTAGAAATTCTTTCCTTAAGCCTGGCAGTGAGTCTTTGAAGCACAAAGGGCAACAGCCACGACGAGATATTTGGCAACGCTGTACAGTTGGCACAAACTGGATTGAATGCATTTAAAAGAAAAAAATTCCACACCACAAATTCACCTTAGTCTTAGACAGAAGGGAGGTTAAAGGAGACAACTGCCCTTCACCAATGAAGACACACCACATGCATAGAAATTTAATAGGCATCTTAGGACATGGTGATGAAGTTGTTGGTAGAGAAACTAGAATCTTCATTTGAATTCCATTTTCAATTCTTTTGGTTTACTCTCTCATGCAGCTCTCATTGGTGAATGCGTTGTACTCTTACTCTCATGTACTTTGATAGTGCTACTTCAGGGCCCATAAAATCCAGTGGAATGACAGAATGCTTCCCCAGGAAGACCATTAGGAAAAGCCAACGACTGCCCTATCAAAATGGTGGCAAAGTTGAGCTCTTTTGCCAATCATACCTTCCTGTAAGAAACTATTCCATTCCCTTCTCTTCAGATCACATCGATCTTTTATTAGATTTTGTTCTTTGTGGGTGTGTGCATCCTCCCATTTAGAGTTTGCCCAATATAACCTTCCCCAACTAGGTACCAAAGAGCCAAAGTTGATAAAGTATGGCTAACCAACCCTCCAGAGTTTTGCCAACTGGGCACTTAAAACAATCAACGATACATCTTACTATGCTATGTAAACTAGTCATAGATTCATATCCAAAGTGAAAGGTTTATATATTCTTTTATTTACATTTTCTCTCAGCCAAAATGAAAATATAATTACACTTATTCCAGAGAGTATCAGAATGCTGAAGAAAAAGGCACAAAACTCTTTCTTGGCCCCGTTCACTAATAAAGCTGGACTGTCTCATTTCTAGCAATGCATAGACTAAGTAAGAGCACCAAAAAACCTCTCCCCACCCCACCCCACCCCACCCCACTCTTAGCATCTAAAGACAGTGCCCCAAACTGTATACCAAGGAATGAAATCTCCTTTCTATGTAAGGGGTCTAGAGCTGGTGGGCTAAACTCATGAGTTGCCAAAACTATCCTCAATAAAAGGAGGATACTACTACATGGCACTCAGAGAGGACTACACAGCCAACATCTGTATTTCTTCAGTTCATCAGATGTTCCCAGGGCTTACAAGTTAGGTTATCCCATTTTACCTTAGGAACAATTCTTAAGAGAAGCTTAGCCAAAAGAGCATGAGTTATTAAAGGCCACCCAAAAAGCTGCAGAGTTGAGGTGGGATTCAGATTCCAAACTCCCTGTACCTAAGTCAACACTGAATCCATTATCACCAGGCTGGCTTTTAATATATTCTAACCTCATCTCTTTTCCCTACACAATGTATGAATCAGGCTAGCAAAATTAGCCAATGTCTTCTTTTCACATCACCCCACTGTAGGTTGTTCCTCCAACTTTTATCCAACTAGGGCTGACTCCTGGCTTTTGATAACTGCTGCACCAAAGGATGCCCCTCCTCAGTTCAGGTATGTCTGCACACAGATGAACTGGTATTGTGCAGTTCCCACATTCCCACTAACTCCGTTGTATGCTTGAAACCAGTTCCAAACACCCTGGAAGGAAAACTTGCACCCAGGTTTTGGAAATACAACATCTACTACTTTAAGTGGCATGACCTATGCATTTCAGAAGCAAATGATACCTAATTAAGTGGCGGAGTCACATGGTTCACTAGGTTCTGGCCCTCCTTCCCCAACCTTGTGACATTAGGTTACTGGCTGGGACTTCTAGGAGTTGCAATCCACCACATCTGAAAGGATAGCAGATTGGGGAAGGCTGCCTGAAGGGGTAGGAAAGAGCACCTGAGCCAAATAAACGTTTTGCATGCAGCAGCCCTATAAAAGGCATGTCCGGGTGTCTTGGTTACCTGTATGACTTTTCAGGCATGCCGTTTGATACAGAATAGGATGGAATTTCTCTCCACCTTCAGAATCTGGGTGAAAGAAGACATGGGACCATTCATGAAATTAGCAAGGCATCTTTCCTGATGCTTAAAAAGCATGAATGTCTCACCAAAAGGCTCAGATTAAATTAACACTGTGTATTAAACTAGGGATAGCTTAAAAAGGTACCCTCCTAATGTTTGGGACTACAATTCCAATGGGCTCTGCTGGCTAGGATTTATTATATCCCAATCATCAGAAGGACCCCCCAGGTTATGATCAGATCACTCAGAAGCCATTCTTTTCTGTGCCAGCACCCTTCTTGCTGAAAGTTAAGAATGATAGGTTGCCCCCACTCCTTTTTTTTCTTTTTCAGGGAATTACATGTGTTTTTTCATGATGCATATGCTCATCTTGATTCCACAGGCAAAAGAGTGAGCATGGCATAAAAAACAATTTAAAAAACCCCACAGTCTAACCAGAAACAAGAATAGGATTAAAAGTTATCTAGAAACAGCAGTTTGGGTACAGACTTAGTGCCTGTGGACATGTACAGTCTTTTGTCCCACTAATATTCCTGGTTAAAGAGGGTTTGTTAAGCTCTGGAATTCATCCCAAATAATAATAAAGCAAGATTGGGATAGGGGAAAATGATATCTGCTTTTCTCTTTCCCAGAATAAAAGAATGACTTCCTCACCAAGGTTTGGCACTCACACCTTGACTAGTGACAGTTCAGTAGAATTTTGCTCATTCTGTTGTATAGCTGGAGAAGTGTCTTCAATCCATGGCCATTTTTTTCCACTCCAAACATAACCCAGGTTCCTTGTGCTGCCCTACGTGACAGCACAAGGAAAGAAGAAAGAATTCAACTGGGGGTGGGGAGGACAAATCTCCGTATTAAAGAGGGGAAGTCAATATGCACAAGATATGAAATGCCACCGTACAAAAGGGAAGCCCTCAGAGAAGGCTCAAAGTCAGTGTTTCAACCGTAGGCGTGGTCTCGCCACAGTAAGGATTCCCACCATGGAGGAGATAAGACCGCAGAGCCCTATAACTCCAGGGTTGGTCTTGTAGATGCCCAGACGGTCCAGCGGACTAAAGAGATCACAAAGGTTCTTCACCGTATCCAGCAAGAGGGGTGGACAGTTCTTTAATGTGAGGAAAACCAGCAGGAGGAAAGGCTGTAGCTCACCATTTGCCAAGGAAGTCATGCTCTGGGAATTCTGGCTGCCAGCAGACAAGGGCTTTGCAGGGGTCTGGTTGCATGCCATCTGCTGCATGCGCCAGCAGAGCTCATAAAAATCCTTGGCCAGGTTTATCACCAGGGAATAGTAGTAGCATTTCGTTGCCCAGTTGCGCCACTTCTTCTTATTGATCTCTGAGTGGAGCCCAACGCTCTTCACCCACAAGACGGTGTCACAGGCGAAGTACAAAGCACGGTTCACGTTGGAGGCTGTCAGGCAGAAGCGAGGAACTGCTTGGGGCAACTGAGCAGCTTGGCGGGCTGCCACAATGGCGTGCACCATATTGCCAAGCCTAAACACTGCAAGAGAAATCATAGCTGAAACATGGTGGTGGAAAAGGTCTGGAGTCTGGAGGCACCACTGATGCATTCTAGGCAGCCAAGTAATCCATCAGCTTTGGACAATAACAGAATTAAAGATCTGTTCTTCAAGCTACCTTGTTTAGGGATGAGAGCAGTTCAGCCAGTAACGGTAGAGACTATTATGGCTAGGGTGTGCAAAATGTTCTGCCCCAGAATATTCCAGCCTCAGTGTGGTCTGTTCTGAGTTTCTGGTGTCATACCCAGAATGGCCCACTTCAAGGCCAGAATGGTCCACAACATAACCCTTTTGCGCATCCTTCTTTCTGTCTGCCTAGCTCACAAGTAGGTCACTTAGCAGCATCCCAACGATTTGATTTATAGCTACCTTAAGACCACACCAATGGGCAAGGACTCTGGGATTCCCAGTCCAATATCCGGGGGCTCTAAATTGCCAATCCCTGGCCTAGTTCTTCTAGTCATTTGCTTTCCCTCTAGAATTTGTACGCTGCTCTTCAAAGCAGGGTTTTGCCAACACCCAAAAAACACATGTAGTTTCTTTTGGTAAACCGAAGTTATAATTAAATGGGCAATATTTAAACACTTAAATACTTTTTAAAATACTTAAAAAGCATAAAGATGGACAAGGATGGAAAAGCCTCATTCCAGCATGTAAATATAAAATATGAATATATTCATAGACAAAAAGGTGGGGGTGATAAAAATGCCTTTGCCTGTGGCCAAGAAGATAATGAAGTTAGTGCCTGCTGGGTCCCCCTGGGATAGTGTCGCAGACCTGGAAAGCTACTACTGAACATACTGTGATGGAATGGAATTATGAAGGCCAGACTCAGGGAGAAAAACGTTTTCTTTCATCTCCTGAGGCGCGAGGGAAAG